TATATACATATACATACATATATACATACATATATGTGTATGTATATGTACATATACATATATGTGTATGTATATGTACATATACATATATACATATATGTGTATGTATATGTACATATACATATATATATATATACATATACATACACATATATGTATATATATATATATATGTATATACACATATACATACACACACACACACACAAAATAAGCTCCATATATTTTATGATACATCTCTTGTCCACGAAAGGGAAAGTGAAAGAGGAAAATGTCGAACAGAACTTGATATGGCACACAGTGAGGACACCAACACACTGACGTTCGAGGTTAATCTGATTGAAAGAGAGAAGTGACAAAGAAAAGACATGCCCCATTCCTTAATAACCATCTCATAATCATATTCAGACAATACTCTTCAATAACACAAGTATTCAATACAATTTATGTTACATGCACCAAAATATGGATTATAAAAAGTTAAAAGCCTATCCTATCCACCCACAGCCTACTACAATGAAGTGGTGAGGACGAAGGTATCGTATTAATGAGCTGAATGACAGAACACACCATGTCCTCCATCTCAATGATGTAAGAGGGTGAGAAGGCCGTTCATCATCGTTCTCTTTGTGGACTGCACAACTCCAAACCTGAGGTGGTACAGACCTGGTTCTGATTAGATAGTGGGTGGTGGTGGTGGGGGTCTATCTGCAGTCGCCATACATACAACACCTCTCTGCCTCCATCACAGATTTTCATTTCTTTGTTATTTTCTTCCTCATCATCTCTCCACCTGCCTCCTATGACCACTCCTTTAAAAAGGTGACCACATGCCCACTCCCCCCCCTCAGGTATTGTCCTCAGTGGTGAGGGCATCCACAGCCTCCAGAAGGTGCAGGGCCAGGCTGTACTGGGCGTGGTTCTCTGGCAGGATTTCAATCAGACGGCCGACCAGCCTGCTGGTCTGGGACAGGGGGACCAGGGGGCACCGCAGCTCACTAGGGTCCTGCAACACAAAACACATCATATACATTCCATTGTTAAACAGGCAGCTGTCACTGCAAAACTGGATGGCTTATTTTTACCTGACAGTTTTTGGTTATGGCTGATAACGAGGCAGGATCAGCAAAGGAAAGAAATAATTGACCAAAGAACAGAAAATAAAAAAAAGCTAAAGGGGCAGTGATAGAGCTCAGGCCAAAACAAGGGACCACCTTTCTTCTAAACCAATCTTGAACTAGTCCTATTCATTATTCTTTAAAACATATGCACATATTATTCATGGAATACATTTCTATGACTTTACTTACATTAATATTATAGTGAAAGTGCATCATATAAATGTCCTTATAGAAAAGAGCATCTAGCCTCTAAGAACCAGCGCCTGAAATGTCTTGAATGTATCAGATGACATTGTTTTGGTGTCTCACCATAGCCTTGAGCCACGTGCAGAGGGTGGGGGGGAGGCGGGCCAGCAGCTCCATGGCAGCTTGCGTCTGGCTCTGGCTGTGAAGCAGCGAGTAACTCAGCCTCTGGCCAGTCAGCACCAACAGCTGGGAGCCCAGCACATCCTTATCTTCCACCTCCAGCATCACCTGGGGGATAAGAGTTACATCAGAACATTGGGTTGTAGGAGCACTGGGATCAGCATAAAAGGTTTTATAAAAGTAGTAAAATCCAGATTTTAGCTTCCGTCTGCCACAAAAGAAAACCACATTGTGCCTTGCCTCTTCAGCCCGGAGGTCCAGGCCCTGGTTGTAAAGCTCGCAGACGATGTGCCGCCTCAGGATGTCGGGGTTGACCTGCAATAGGGAGCCTAGCTCCAGACACAGCGAGGGCCACCAGTCAGCCTTGGGGCCACTAGAAGGCAGAGGGGGGGTCTTGGTGCCGGGGGCTGAGCTGGAAGGATCATCTATAGCCTGAACCCAGCCGGTCAGCACCCGGAGGAGGAACTGAGACAGAGCAGGAATGTGGGAAAGACAGAATGAGATGACAACAAACTGTTTGCTTTCAATATCTTCATTTTCTCTAGATGAGATGTAGATCCACCTCTCACCTCTTGTCGTAGCGAGACCAGGCCTGGGTCCATGTCTCCAGTGGGCATCAACTGGATGGACGTCAGATCTCTGAAGAAAGCATTCTTACCCTGGGATAAAACCAACCAGGTAGGGTTAATACTCTATGGACTCTAAACACAAGGTACATATTAGTGTTGTCATGATACTTGAATTTCTAACTGATACAAACCCTTGAAAAGTATCTATTTCATACAATGTTTGATAGCATACTGACACATTTACAAAAATGAGTGCATACAATTTCAGATTTCTAGCGTGTGTCAAGTTGCTGTTGCAGAGAAGAGAAAGCAGAAAGCGCAGCCGGTATCGATACGGCAGAAAATGAATAATGAAACAGTTTAAAATATTCAGTATCGATATGTATTAATGATTCAATACTTTTGACAACACTCATACATATATAGTGTGTTAGCAAGTTGTGTAAATGAAAAACTTGAATGCTTTAGTGGGGAGTGGTGCACTTTAGCCTCTTGTGGTCGAAATCAGTATTACAACAATAAACACGATCACGGATGAAAAAAAACGAAATTTAAGAATAAGGGACAAAACATTAGCCAGGATCATTTTGTTAAGTCATAAACACAGGAGAGAAACCAAGTCAGATCAGACTTAGAAAAGTTGTTTTTCCACTTCCATATATAATACTGCATTATGAATCAACACATGACACAATGCAAAGTCAAAATCAGTGCACAATGCAAATGATAATAATCTGCGAGGATAAAAGTATCTAGTAGCTAGTAAATGATGTCTTCAGTCTTGTTGGGACTTTTAACTTCTGTAGAAAGGTCACCATGAGTGTGTGTCCCCCGTCTCCTCACCTTGCCTTCAAACAGACTGAGTGGTTTGACCCTCAGACTGAAGCTCATAGCAGCGTGCAGCAGGGAGGCTAACAGGCAGTGGTGTTGCACCAGCGTGAAGCAGACGCCTCTCTGCCCCAGGCCCAGTTCAGCGAGTTCAACGAGGGACGCAGGGCCTTCAGCCCCGCACCACGCCTCCTCCACGGACAGCTCCGGAGGGGTAACGTCCTCCACCGCCGAGTCCGCCTGCGTGGCAAAAAGCGACCGAAGAGATGATGAGGAAAAAAGCTTGTGTGCTTGTCACTTTATTATCTTAAATCACAGTTTAGTTCACAGTCAATGCAGCCAAGTGCAGATTACAACACATGCACAGATTTAAAGTCCCCCCTGCACCTTTTCAGGATACATTATATCCAACAATTAAACTTTTGAAATGAGCAACATCTGCATGTTTAGATATTCTAGACTGAATTCCACTGAAATCAAATAAGTGAAAGAGCTGTATTGTACTAATTAGACGGACGAAAGCGAAAGCATTTGCCAAGAATGTTTTCATTAATTGAACTATTTTGTGGAGAAACCCTATCAGACACAAAGCATTACTGCAGGTAATAATACAAAGTTGTTGGACATTGTTCCGAACTAGCTAATAGATCAGATGCGTATTAAGTATAGGTGTGGTTAGTAGTGGTAGTGATAGGTTTCTCCATGCTCTGCTTTAGTAATCAATAATAGACAAATGCTCCAGTCACCTCCATGAGGATCTGCAGCAGCTGGACACAGCAGCCCAGGAACGACGTCACGGCTTTGTCTCCCATCCCAACATCCTGCACACACAAACGCACGTCCTTTAAACATGCAGCTAAATACTTGAATTGAAACACTTCACATCTAAAATAATGGTATCAAATCTATACGTATTTACCCGTCGACATAAGCGATCTTTGGGTGCCTTCCCCACCTAAGAAAAGGAAGCGTTAACATTTTATATATAGCCTCACAGACATCGCCTTCCATCAGACACACTGTGCACTTCATGTGCATGACTTACCTTCTCCATTAGGAAGGCTGCTGCTGAGAAACGCTTGACAATGAAAGTACTCCACATCATGGCAGAAATACCTGAGAGGAAGATTCAGTGAAGTCAGTATTAACACTAGTGATGGTCATTTTCAGAAGGTAGGCTACTGATTTACAAACATTAACATCACTTCTGGTAACACAGTACCTTCGCTCACATATTTGAGCTATTATTTTATGCATATCTGAGGAAAAGTGGATTAGACATTAATATCTAAAAAATATTTGCATGTAATAAGCATGAACAAAAAAAAGCCCTTCACCTAGATGGATATATGGACAGGAGACTAGCTTCAAATGTTCAACAGCCAACCACAAGTATCGGCCCTCCTAGGAAGAGAAGCAGGTCCATATTTAAGAACAAGAGGGGATTGGTTATTAGTCATCCATGTTCCTTCCCCCACTTTGGTGGATAAACATTAGTGTTTAAAACATTTAATGGCCGTCTTACTTCTTCTGAACTATCATAAACAAAAAGCCTGTGTGTGTGTGTGTGTGTGTGTGTGTGTGTACCTCGGGGTCTTTGTTCCACTGCACTACATATTCCCAGCAGCAGTGGGTGAAGAGCAAGTCAGGTGAGAGGGAGTGTGGGAACCGCTGGCTCACTGCCACCAACAGCTCTGGAAAACACAGTGGACTTTGTTTGACTTGGATTTGATCTGAGGGTGTAAAGTGTGTGATATAGTGTGTACTGTGGCAGTCATAACATTGCTCTAGTAATGCTGTATGAATCTACAAAGGCTATTAACAACATAACCGATAAAAGCACAGACAAACCTATTTAGCATGAGAGCTAATGTAGAAGTGAATATCCACAGTTATGTATGTCAACATTTTGATCAGTTCTTGTCCGGTTCTGAGTCCTGACCTGCTGTCCTGTCTGTGTCCTCTTGGCTCTTCTCCTCCTCCTGCTGCTCATTTCCTTCTTCTCCAGCCCTCTGCTCTAGTTCTTCGTCTGCCTCTTCGTCTTCTCTCTTTTGGAGAATTTCCTTCAGTCGCTCAGGGGCCAAGTTGTGTCTGAACACCCACTTGGAGACACTGTCGGCAATGCCACCTTTACAGACGTAAAAAAGAAAATGACAAAAATAGAAGATCTGTTTTATGTAGCCACACCAAGATTATTACGGAAACCCCAAGAGGCAAGTGAGAAATTCTGGTCTAAATTGCTTTAGCCTTTTGTTTAAAATCCGTTTTGGATAATAGTTACTAATAGTTTTCAGGATAATTTTTCAGGATCAGTTGTTTGTTGTTGTAATACCCATTTACCCAAAGACAGAAAGAAACACATCATAGCTAACAAGAACGAACCGCTGTCTTACTTTTTTGATAGCTCATCTGTCTGCCTGCATACATCCCTGAGGATATTCTTCTTTACAGCTTACCTGTGCCTCCCTCCAGCAGCGTTTTGATAGAGCACTGAGCTGCAGCGCCCCCTGCTGCTCCCTGAGGAGGAGGCACCAACAGCAGAGTCTGCAGCACCAGCACGTCCTCCAGCTGGTGAACACACACCACCCACTGCTCCAGCTCTAGGGACACCGCCTCCCACTCTGACTGAAACTGTCCCACACAAACACAGAAAACGGGTCAGTGAGTGTGGTTTTAGTTGCGGATATTATGCCTAGAAGTAGTTATAGTGTTGGTGAAGAAGGTGGGGGGAGTACCAACTCGTAAATAAAAGTCAACCCACAGACTGTTGAGTGCATTCCTGTGTGTATATCTGTGTGTGTGTGCATGAGACTACCTTGCTGTCAGCCCGGCTTGTGATGCTCGCCTTGGCAGCACGGTGAGCAACGAAGGCGGCCAGCAGAGCAGCCGCAGCATTGTGGGACTGGATGCATGTGCAGCGAACTTGCTGCCACCAGGGAGAGATGGACTGGGGGTCCCACGACTCCTCAATTGCTCCTGAAAAGAGGAAGCGTTAACATTCTCCTCCTCCTTTTTTTCATGGATTGACACTTTTGCAAATGAGTCAGCCCACACTGGACACAAGCACACACCTTTCATGTCACTGAGGGCGATGAGTAGTATGTGTAGATTTCTAACGGCCTCTTCTGGTTTCTGTAGCACCTCCTTCTCTCTTTGCAACCACACACTTAGCAACAGAGACTGAATGGAAGAGGAGCAGGTGGAAAAGGGTCAAACAGAAATATTAGCGGAATGAGCATTCATTTAAAGTGGTGGCACTCCTGTACTGAAATACTTGTTTAAGGATGGATTGCTGTCATTCCCATTCTTCTTATGGAAGGTTTTTGGGGTCTACAGGAAACATGTCCACTCCAAAAACTACATATCATAATTACATTAGTCCACATATTTGTCACATAATCATCTGACTGCACTTTTACCTCCATGAGCAAAACACAACTTAATTTCAACCAATCTTTTCCTCCATCTTACCAGCAGCTGCTGTGGACTGATGCCAGCCTGCTGCAGTGTGTCACAGACTTTATGGGGGGGGCTCTTTCCACACAGACAACCCCAGAACATAAAATTCCCTGCAAAGGACACACAAGAGTAAAGTCCTCAGTCTGGACTTGTGTGGTGCACTGATGTCAGTGAGATTTCTTCTAAATCAAAAAGTATTTTTCTTTTCTACTACACAACCCTCTGTGTGACTTGTGTAAATCCTACCTTTCCTGTTTTTACACATGGAGAAAGACAGCAATAGAATTCCCCTGGTGTGAGACAGACACTACCAGCATCTCACTGCCAAATGACGCTTCATACTCTTACCTGATACTTATGCATCAATTGATTTGGCAGTGTCATACTGAGACGAACAAAATGCTACACATAGCCTCATATATTTTGATTGTGTCATGGTATCTACTTGGATAACTGTGTAAAGGTCTGGTCGTACAATGTGCATACAAATGTTGCCATACCTAGATGATTCCATTTGGTTTCAGAGCCGCGGATGACCCTCAACCCCTCATCATCGGTGCACTCCATCTGGGAGAGAAAGGCTTGGGCTGGCATGGATGAGTCAGGTGAGTCCTGGGCGAAGGAAACACTTGGTCTCGCGGTGAGCTGGGCGTAGCGTTGCAAGGTGGGGCCAACGCGGGACAACTCATCCTCTATGCCTTCGAGTGAGTCCTGTTGGGTGGGGAGACCATAAGTGTTTATCATAGAGTTATGAGTACTAATAATGACCACGAAGCAACAATACTGCCCTAGTTAGTCACTGTATCAAAAACCTTGTGTATGGTATTATGTAGTTTTGTATCGTGTATTACAGTTTAACATCTATGCGAGTGCCATTAACAAGCTTCACATATGTGTATGTCCTTACATTTTCAGAGCAGGCCTCTCTGTCTGCACCAGAGTGCAGGTTCTGGATGTCGGTATAGAGCTGAAGCAATTTCAGCTGTGAGGAGCAGAGCTGGAGTAATGCTGCATCCACTTCCTCAGGGTCTGTGATGAAGAAATACACAACCACGAACAAAGACAGATAAACCATTGTATGATATGTACGGAACATTTTACACCACAATATTGTTTCTTAATAATAAACCGTCTCGTTACCTTGTTGCTTCAGAGTGTCATGTAAGGCGCATGTGATGTTAGTTAGACATGAGACAGGAGCATTCTTGTTTGACAGCAGAGACTCCAAAGCCTAGAAGCAAGAGGGAAGACTTTGACTGTTACCACAAAGACACCAGGCCTCTCTGTTAGTGTGTGAGCCAGTTTGTTTTGTATCTTTGTTTGTACCTGCTTCTTAATGGCGGGGTGTTTGATATCCAGCAACACACTTTTGGCTTCGCTCTCCAAAATGTCTGAAAAGTAAAAAGATGAGTAGGCACATAGACTGGCAGAGATTCAAACCTCTCTTACATCTCCATACATCCTGTATCTCTTACCAGGCTCCACCTCTCTGCTCCTCAGTATAGTGGTCAGTCTTTTTATCAGGTGCATATCCTTGGCTCGCTCGCTTTTCTTGTCACTGAAACAGGGAAGAGAGATAAAGAAGGGTTTGGATATCAAAGCCTAAAATTCATGCGTTGAGGTCATTTGTTTGTGAGAATATGAAGACTTTTGGAGTTGTGGTTGAAAACCTTGGTTGTGAAAGTAAATGATGAAAGTCAAGTTGCCATAAACTCCCATTCTTTAGCAGGATCTAAATGTGCCTCCTGTTGAGTCGAGTAAGTACATTTTGTACAAAAATAAGTTCTATGCTTCTATAGCTGAGGTACATAATACAAATATTACTAGAACGTAAGGGCGTAAAGATCAACTGTAACGTGTCTGAAAATCGGTAGAGTTTAAATCCATACGGCTAAACTGATACAAAACTCTGCTTCGTCTCAGATTTTCCCAAACCCAAAGTGGAATCAGTCAAAAACCGCTACGTCCGTTATAAACTGACAATCAGAAAAAGCTCCACTTGAGCAGAATTTGACATGTTATATGACATGGATGTATAAAGAGGTGTATGAGCGGAAAGAGACAAATTGAGGTTTTCTGTGTGTGCACGAGGCAGCGAGACCTGGCCCTGTCTCTCCACTATTCATACAGTAAAGGGGGGACAGGAGCAGAGGACAGCCAGCGATCCAGCAAGTCATGCGTGAAAGCAGGCGGTCACTAGTGGGGAGCTAGCTAGTAGCTAGGTAACAAGCTATGAAGATTCAGAAAAACAAATGGGATTCAAATGTGCCAGGCGATGGTTTTGTATGCAGGGAGGCTAAGCTACATTCAAAAGCAGCACACCACCAATTTTGCTGCCTATTTTGGCTTGTTGGCTGCATGTTAGCAAGTGATAACCAATTAGCTAGCTGGGGTACATATAAAAAAAATACATGTCATAGAATTCAGTCACATCATCATTACAGATTTAAGGCAAACAACAGATGAAATTAAAAGGTTACTGCCATTAAATTACAACCATGGCGGATGAGCTGCATTGAACCAAACTGGTATGGGAAATATATGACACGTATTGTGTGTGTGTGTGTGTGTGTGGTTATACAACTTCAGCTGTTGTGAGATTTTTTCACCCCCTCACCAAAAGTCCACGCTGGAGCTCTGCCAACACTTTTCAGCTAAAATGGACCTAAATCTGAGAAATGAGGCCATACAGTCTTCATCAAAACTAAATTAGAAACTTCTTCTTTTTTTTTAACACATGCATTTCTATATATAATATATGACAATACTATATGACTTAAGTTAATCTGAATATATCAAAGTAGTGCTTTATTGGACTGTATTGAATTACCACATGGTTAAATGTCTCGTGTTTGTATTGTATCGAAGACTATTGAGATATGTATTAGATGGTCCTGAGAGGGAAAGATACACATCCCTACTAGAATGACATTCCTAGTACATACAGGGACCAAAAGCTAGTTTGAGAGAATAAAGAGTATCCCTACACCACATGTGCAAGCAATCCTACTGTACAAGATACACGAAGTTTGATGTTTTGGGATTCTTGAAGTCAGTTTCTGCTGCTGGCCGAAGAATAGTCATGAACATGACCCCCATTAAGGATGCAACTTGTCAAATAAACTTTTTGTACGGTTTAAACAAGTGAGATACAGTATGAAGTATTATTTAGTGTGCTTCAAAAGGTGCTGGACTATTTCTTTTAAAAACGCACACATGACAAACGCAATCTACAGTATCTCTGAGGTTCATGCATGTCTGTGAACCAACCTGAGGGCCAGATGGAAGGGGATGTTCACTGTCCTCAATGCTCCTGTGATGGGATCCAGCAGACACACCTGCTGGGTGAGGAGCTGCCAGCCCTTACTGGTAACACTGTTCACCCCCATCAGACGGTAGCCAGCGTACAGCAACCTGGAAGTGCACACGCACAAAACAACATTTTACATACAGTTGTGTGAAAAAGTGTTTGCCCCCTTCCTGATTTCTTATTT